ATAGGAATGAAATCACATCATGACACTCCTATAGGTGGCACACAAGTTGGCACCGAAAATACAATTTTGTTTCTCAATTTTTATTAAAAAATAAATAAATGAAGTTTAGACAGACTTTTAAAACCACCCACAAAATTCAGGAAGTGTTTAGATACTTTAAGGAAAAGGTCAGTCTTCATATTGGACATTTGAAGGTAGCATAATTTTCGCATAATTTTGTAATAGTTCCATTTGTGCTGTCTGATCGACTGGGTCAACAAAATAAAGACAGATGGTAGTGTATTAATTCTAATGCTTCTTTATTGCAATGCTGCCATTACAGTTTCCTCTGCTGCATTCACAGCAACTAAAGCTTCCCCAGTTTAACATTCTCCACAACTGAAAAATGATACACCACCTAGTGAAATCCATGAATATCTACACTGGACATAGGACCATGACATTGTATTCATTTAGGATATGTCTATACTCCAATTAAACACCCGCGGCTGTTCCATGTCAAATGACTCAGACTCTGGCTAGGTGGCTGTTTAATTATGGTGTAGGCGTTTGGGCTCAGGCTGGAGCCTGAGCTCTGGGACCTTCCCCCCTCACAGGGGAAAGGGGCGAGCCTGAACACCCTCACCACAATTAAACAGCCCCTTAGCTTGAGCCCTGCGAGCCCAAGTCAGTTGACATGGGCCAGCTGCATGTTTTTAATTGCAGTGCAGACATACCCATAGAGAACCAGCAGCTTTATAAAGAATAAAGTGCTCCAGTAGAGTAAAATGAATTGAATGCATTAGTCCTCACCGCCTTAGGAAAAGGGACCCCCCAAAAAATAAAAAACCCAATCCACACAAATAATATAAATGACCGCATACCAACAAGTACTCCTTTTCTTATACCATACATAGGGATTGTTGTCCCACAATAATGGGGTATGAGTCACTAGCCAGCTATGCAGCAGCACTTCTCCTGAGGCTTCCAGCTGTCACTTACTAACCTGCTGTGCCTGTGCTTCCAGCATGGTTAGGCTCATCTGACCCTTCCAATCATTAGGAGCCTGACAACCACCAACAGTGGATTTTACACAGATGTATACATTTGTGGAGTTGTCCTTTTCCTAGTTTTCTGAGAAGGACACAAAGAGACAGACTACTGCTGTGATTAATAGAAAAGGAGAAAAAACAAACAAAGGATGTCCGACCTTTCACGCCTCATTTATATTGTGTTTACTCACACCACAAGAAATTTCAGAACAAGAAAGAAAACTGATTCTCAAAGGAAATAAAGCAATCAAAAAATCTAACATCTCTTACAGACACAGACCACACTGGCACATACCCTGCTCCTTAAGAGAGAATGGATGTTTCCAATTTTGTTACTTCCATCAGTTTTCTTAATCCATCTCTGGATAGGAAACCTGAATCGTTATGTTGGCCTCCCACCCTGTCTTACTTGAAACCATTATGTTGTAGTGCTTAACAACACCTAGTAACTTGTGCATTTGTCTCACATTTCATTATGCCATGTCATACTGGGTGGTGATCTATTACAAGTGTGAACCTGGTATCTAAGAGATAATACCGTAATGCACTATTTCCCAAAGCATGGGACATGTTCCCAAGTTTGAGCAATGAACTGGCCAGAGTTGCATAGTTGCATGTTCTCCAGAGTCTCAGCTTTCATGTTAAAAAAAATCGTTAGTCTCAAGCTGTTATGGTGGTTTGGAAAACCTTCAGGGTGAAGCAAGTGTAACTAATGCAGGAGGCATCTGCCTGGGTTTTCAGAGAACCTTTAATGTTAGCTCAGAGGTACAACTGGTTCCATTCATGTTCATTGGAACTAACTCAGATGCCAATTATGATACATTTAAACATCAACATTACTTTACTCTACTATTCAAAGCATGTAAGAAAGGACAGGAAGTACTATATTATGAGCTCTATTCCAGTGTTATCTGAAGTGGCCTGAAGGCATGATATAAAAGATATATGAATTAAAATAAGGAAGCCTTTAATATCACATAGCAGAGTTGAAAAGGGGTGCAATTGCTTTCATTTTCCTGAAAGGGGGCTCATTTTGGGAAATACTACCTTAACGCTTCCAGTGCCCACTTCACAATAAGACATTTTTCAATCATACTGTACCATTGCTTTCCATACAACTTTCTACTTATAGAATTGAATATTCTTCTCTTTTCCACTCTTGATACAAGACAGCTCTCAATCCTGTCTCTGACACATCAGTTTGCATTATGAATGGTTTATTAAAGTTCAGACTAATTAACACAGGTTCTGAAAAAGGGTCTTCTTCAGGGTATCTAAAGGTCCCTGACATTCCCTTGGCCAGATTACTTTTTTTCCTTTCAGGTTTCTTAACTGAGCTTTAGTATGAGAAAACTGTGGAATGAACTTCTGGCAAATCTTGGCTAATCCCATGAAAGATTTCACTTTCTTCTTGGTGGTAGAGATGGCAGCCTCTGCTTTTACCATTGATACTTCAACTTTTACTTCCTCATTCCTAGTATCCTTGATTTCTGGCTTCAGGGCTGCCTAGTACATGTTGCTGGGGATTAATAATCAACCCGGGTTAGATATGCCACACACGGACATGACTCTCCAAAGGGAAAATAAAAGCAAAAAATCCAAACAATCTCTTACAGGGGCATATGACACTGTCACATATCAATAGTTTTTGGACCCAACACATTGTTAATGGAAATTGTTTAAACTGTGTCTGCCACTTGGCACTAGAATACCAGATACTACAGTCATGGGGGGCCAGATTGATAGAGGAGATTTAGCAAATTAGCAGCATCCCCTCCAGATGCAGTGACTGGACTTGCTGTACATCCTTCATGGTACAGCATCCAAGACTCAAACCTAGACCCCTGTTGTTTATAGGCAGCAACTCTATCAGACCACAAAAAAAGCTTGTCTCTGGCTATGTCAGTAGAACCACAGCACAGCTTGTCTCAGCTGGGCATCACTTGTTGCATGTCTTACATACCATACCTGAGATCATCACTAAACAAGGCATTAACAACACTAGTACATCAGCTGTTTTGAGTTCTGTATTCAATAGCTTGTACAACTGCTACCCTTATTGGTAGTCCCACTAGAGAAGCCATTCTGATATTCGGACTACAAATTGACCCTAATTGTGAGCTCAGCTGAGCTGTAGCTCACGAAAGCTTATGCGCAAATAAATTGGTTAGTCTCTAAGGTGCCACAAGTACTCCTTTTCTTTTTGTAAGAGGTGAGTGAAAGTTCATAAAATGTCACAACAACCTATAACAATAAATCTTGTGGGGAAAAGGTGTGGAAAGGAGACAGTTTGAATTAGTCCAAACAAAAAAGGCCTACTGATATAATTCAAGGACTCTGGTAAGATTATGCCTGGTAAACAAAAACAATGTTTGACCAGAAATCAATAAACCAAAATTGATGTGTCAGAAATTAGGCCTAACTGGTGAATAAAAAAATAAGGGGACAGGCTATTCCACCCATTATTCCCTTTGGGGGTTCTTGTTCCCATTACTCCCTTGGGGGAAAAAGCTGCCTACCACAATGCTGACTGACTAAAAGACGAGAGAAGAGGAAGGAGACAGCTTCACTTTCATGGATGCCACCCCCATGTCTCTTAGGACCTCAGACTTTTTTATCCTTATGTCCTGACATGGCCAGACCAAAAAGAGGGAGTTAGATGACATCACCAGCGGCTCTGGCTAAATTCCAAATAACATCTGGGATGTGAAACTGTCATTCCCCCTCCCACACACATATACCTTCTGTGTTCTTTTCCTTCCCCACCTTATTTCTTTCTCTTTTCTATCCATCCCCTTTTATCATCTGTCCAGTAAGATTATTTTGCAACACTGCTGTAAAGCCTATGACCAGAAAGAGGCAGCTAAATTCAATGCCCCAAACAGCCCAATGCTTGTACAATTTTGTCAAGTCTCAGAGTGGCTGATAAGACCATGTATAGTGCCTATGTTTCTCCAGCAGTGAGGCTGCAAATGAGAATCAACATCAAAGACAGAAGCTGGATATTCACTCTTAGCTATTTTTTCTCTCCTTCTTTTCTGTATGTTTCTCTTGTTTTCTTCTAGGAAACAGGATCGGACTTTAATAGCAACAACAGCAGCTCCAGCCTATCTTAACTAATTTCTTCTCCTTTCCACAAAAAATACAAGTTATTACCATCTAAGACACTGTCAAACATGGAGGTTTTCCTTCTAAAAACTCTCTCCAGCTAAAGAGAAAGAGACCAAAGAATGTTGTTAAAATGAAAGCCTTGCTTAATAATTTACATTTCAAACTCTTTAACTGTCTTCCCCCCCCCTCCCCCGCCCACTCCGTTTCTTTAATAAAGGGTTAAAAGGATTTTTAATAATGTATTTGCCATGGTACTAAGCAGGCTGAGGTCTCTGTATACCAAACCCTGAGCGTTGTTTAAAACTGTCTGATGTTGGACCGTGACTGGGTTATGTTAACACCTTTAACTCATTGGGCACATATATTCCATCTGAATTAATACAACAGGGCTAAGACTAAATTTCTCAGTCTCCTTAAAATGATTCATTCCTGAACTGGGATGAAGCTCGTTGGTAAGGTGGTGAGGGAAAGGTTTAATCACCTGTACTGTATCTGTTCCATTATGAAAATGGTGGTTGATATGTTTTTAAAGTACTAGGTACATATTAAAATGATGGTCCAAAGCCACAAAGTTTGCATCTGAATTTGAATGTCCTGAAGCTTCAGAGTTTTTGCATCAGGGATTTCTTTTCCAGACCCACTTAAAATATCATGGTCTCAAATTTTACTGTAGCAATAACTGGGTTATTCGTCTGTTTCCATCTTAGAATGAAATCCCCATTGGTACCCCATGCAGAAGGCCAGCACAAGTTCAATATGTCATATAAATCAAAACAGGGTTTAAGAATACATAGGCCTTTTGCAGATCCTCTGCACAACGGCAAATTTCATCCTTATAGTCTTTTTTTTTTTTTTTACCTGAAACGAAGATTGGCTGTTATAATTCTTTAACTCCTTGTTGGCTCCTCGGAACAACAGAACTCTTGCACAGCTGTCCTGCAAATTAGAGAAGGAGGAACTCATTGATTATAATCTTTAATCACTAAAAATAGGCTTTAAATTATAAGATTTGGTGGTTATTTGGCATATGTTTTTGAACATAAAACAATAAGTCAACAGCCCAAGAAATATGAAACTCTGTTCCAATCAAAGGATTTAGTTGATTAAAATAATTTTAATTTTCAATACAGTTGGAAAATTCTTAAATAATGTAGTTATGGGCAAGGTTCAATTTTTCAATGTACTGGAAACAGCATAAGAATGGTCATACTGGGTCAGACCAAAGGTCCATCTAGCCCAGTATCCTGTCTTCCGACAGTGGCTAATGCCAGGTACTTCAGAGGGAATGAACAGAACAGGTAATCATCAAGTTATCCATCCCCTGTCACCCATTCCCAGCTTCTGGCAAAGAGAGGCTAGGGACACCATCCTAGCCCTGCAAGCAAGTGTAAGTAACAACTAAGGGGACTACAGTACTTACTGAGATTTAAATACCTTGTTAACAATTCAGAAAAACATATTACAAAAATTACATCAAGTTATTAAACAAACCAGATTTTACAGCAAAATTAGTGTTTTCAAATTAAACTTTGTACATTAAAGGTCTTTGCTCATGTTGATACCTTCCAACCAGTGGGAACTGTTCAAGGAATAAATTATTGTGTTATATGATCAAGGGTACCACAACCTGGACCTAAATAATTAATATAGACATCCACTAATCAGAGAGGACAGTTTATTACCTCAATTTTACTTTGATTTATCAGTATATATCTCAAACTAAGCAGTTAGCTGTTTTTAATGCAACAGTATATTTAATACAAGTTTTTTTCAAAGAAACTTTTTTTGAGCTGCTGATACTATAACAAAGCCAGTCCTCCATACACAAATAACAACACCACAACACAAAACTAATATACCCTGACCTCCTCCCCAAATGAGAGACCAGATTACATGAGATCAGGTTCTGGTACAGAGTATGTAGTTGAAATCCTATCAGTATATTTTTTTAGTTGAATACACTGTATTGCAGTAAGACACTAGTCTGTACTGTTGTAAAATATTACTGATAATAACCTTATAGAAATTTTTCTATAGATCTGACATTTTTCAGAGCACTTGACTTTTTCTTGATTCATATATAGTATTCTATTTCCACATGTCGTCTTTAATGTTCATCTCGGGACCTGTGCTTAACCAGTCCACAATTCAGAATGTTTTTATGTTTTCTTGTCAGGTATGTTTCTATTAGCTCAGCTAATCCTGATTCACAGACAGGTGTACATACGGAAATTGCCCTTAAAAGAAATTTTCCTCATTCTGCTTTCCGATATACTGAGCCAGATCCTTGGTCCTGGTAAATCCCTTGTACTGCCCCCTTCAGCACAAAGAGGACTTATAGTTGTCCTAAATGGCCCCTGGGTGCCCCCGGGATCAGGGTTCCATAAAGATAGATAACATAAAGCCCCTTTTGCCCACTTCTCCCTGTTCTGCTTGACAGAGTAAATCAAGCAGTTTGGCTCTGCATTTCTAGTCAGGATTCTAGCACCTGTCACAGAGAGGTAATTTAATATTCTTAAAAGGGATAGGATGCTAGACAATATAGTTATGTATAGGGCCCTACCAAATTCATGGTCCATGTTGGTCAATTTCATAGTCATAGGATTTTAAAAATCATAAATTTCATGATTTCAGCTATTTAAATCTGAAATTTCATGGTGGTGTAATTATAGGAATCATGACCCAAAAAGGAGTCGTGGGGTGGTCACAAGGTTATTGTAGGAGGGGTTGCAGTACTGCTACCCTTACTTCGTTGCTGCTGGCGGCGGTGCTGCCTTCAGAGCTGGCTAGCTGGAGAGCGGTGGCTGCTGGTCAGGAGCCCAGCTCTGAAGGCAAAGCCACCGCTTGCAGCAGTGCAGAAGTAAGGATGGCATGGTATGGAATTGCCACCCTTACTTCTGTGCTGCTGCTGGCGGGGTGCTGCCTTCAGAGATGGACACCTGGCCAACAGCCACCCCTCTCTGGCCACCCAGCTCTGAACGCAGTGCAGACGTAAGGGTGACAATACCGTGAACCCCCTAAACAACCTTGCGACCCCCCTGCAACTCCCTTTTGGGTTGGGACCCCCAATTTGAGAAACACTGGTCTCCCCCATGAAATCTGTATAGTATAGGGTAAAAGAACACAAGAGACCAGATTTCACAGTCCATGACACGTTTTTCATGGCTGTGAATTTTGGTAGGGCCCTAGTTATATAGCAGGGGTGGCCAACTTGAGCCTGAGAAGGAGACAGAATTTATCAATATACATTGCCAAAGAGCCACAGTAATACGTCAGCAGCCCCCTCATCAACTCCACGCCACCCCCCACCCCGGTCCCAGCATCTCCGGCCCACTGGCAGCCCCACAGATCAGCGCTTTCCCCTCTGTCCCCGCACCTCCTGATCAGCTGCTTCGTGGAATGCAGGAGGCTCTGGGGGGGGAGGTGGAGGAGCGAAGGCATGGCAGGCTCGGGGCGGGAAGCGGTGGAGTGGGGGCGGGGCCTGTGGCAGAGCCAGGGGTTGAGCAGTGAGCACCCCCCAGCACATTGGAAAGTTGGCGCCTGTAGCTCCAGCCCCGGAGTTGGTGCCTATACAAGAAGCCGCATCTTAACTTCTGAAGAGCCGCAGGTGGCTTCAGAGCCACAGGTTGGCCACGCCTGTTATATAATATTTCCTACCTGTGCTAAGAACTGCATCAAACCAACAGCTCAGGAGAGCACTTTACAGTGCTAAACAGGGACAGGCAAGGAAGAGAGTCTGTCCATCTGTCTGTATCTATCTATCTATAATTAATTCATGGGACCATAATGTTTTTCCAAAGATTTTACATATTACTAATCAGTCAAGGGAAAATTCATGTGCTATAGCCTAAAGAAAGACCTAAAGATTTAAATAATGTTGATAGGGCTTTTGTTCTAGCGATGCCAGTAAGTGACCCCTATTTCAAATTCATACCAGATGATCCTAGGCTGGCGCAATGCATGTATCATTCAGGTAATATTCACTATGTCCATATGTTCTACCGAGAAAAAATGGGAAGGCTGGATTGCAAGCTTGCATATTAAAGTTCCAAATTTCCCAACTCGGTCCACAATTTGTTCATTAAGGTATTGTGTGTTCTGAAACTCACAGTATTTATAAACTGATCATAATTTAATTTTCAGAGTACCTAAATTCACATTTATTTTATAATTTATTTGTCTTTCATAAAACACAAAATGGTTCTGAAAATACATTTCCCCTTCCCCCACCCCTCTCTTTTTGCAGTTCCTATCCAACAGTTCAAGTATTATGGTTTGTTTCAAGGGTTTTGTAAATTTAGTGTAGGCAATGAATATGTGTACTAAGCTTCAGCTCACAATAAGTTTTATAACCACAAAATATTGGGATTTAGGGTGTTTTATACAATGTGAGAGACTCTGCCAATGGTATAATGTGCAGGACAGAATTGCAACACTTTACAGGCCTTTTTTGCTTAAGTTTCAGTTAATATATTGGCTACATTTTGCAATTAAATACATTGGGATTATACAATAGTTATTTCATTCCTTTGAAAATTTTGGACGTGATTTACAAATGTAATACAACTGTTGTATTTTCTGCAACACCACAATATAATTGTATTCCTAGTGCCTTATCAATAGAGCTAATCAAAAAATTTCCATCAAGATGTACCATGAAAATGGTATTTTTCCCTAAAATGAAATTTTTCACAGAATATGTTTGTTATGGTAGAATTTTTTTATAAAAAGATTTTTTTTCCAGTTTGCCCCCTTTCTCTTCCTTTCCCCCCTCTTTTTATTTTTTCCCATTCAGTGAAAAGAGAGATAAAAAGGAAGGGGATGGTGAAGGATTAAAAAACATTTCTTATAGCAAAGAGCTGAATCTATTTAGCTAATACAGAGAAGGTTAAAAAGGATTTGATTAGCCTATAAGTATCTACCGGGGAACAAATATTTAATGACGAGCTCTTCAATCTAGCAGAGAAAAGTATGTTCAACTGCTGGAAGTTGAAGCTAGGTTAAATTCACACTGTATTTAGGGTAAAAATGTTAATGTTGAGGTTAATTAAACACTGGAACAATTTACCAAGAGTCACGGTAGATTCTCCATCACTAGCAATTTATAAATCAAGATTGGATGTTTTTCTAAAAGATATTCTCTAAGAATTTTTTTGGAGAAGTTCTATGGCCAGTGTTTTAGAGGAGGTCAGCTTAGATGATCACAATGATCCTTTCTGGCCTTTGAAATCTATGAAGAACTGAAAACCCAAAACATTTTCAGATTTTAGGGGGTTTTTTAAGTATTCATGGGACAATTCCCATTAAAAACTATTTGCATTTTTCCACCAGCTCAGTTTATCAGTTCAAAAAAAGTCTACATCACATGTTTAAGATTCTTCCTACCAATGCTACAATTCTGGCTTTTGACAAAGTGCAGTATTGACAGTTTAATAACCTTTGATATTTATCATTTAATACAGTTTACTTATGATACATAAAATAAACATGAAGCAGCTTTTTAGCCGTCAGGGGTTTAAGTGAATTTTATAAAGATGTGTGGGCTGTCAGCAGATTAGATTTGTTGCCTAAAATCAAATATCTATTAGTTGATTTCATAGTAGCACAGTAAGTAAAACAAATTCAATAGGTTGTATTTTAAAGGAATGTACATATCATACTTGCATAATTTATAAAATATAGACTAATAATTTTATTGAGAGACCAGGAGCTGTAAAGTGACTTTAAAACAAAATCAGGTCATCATTTTATTTAGGTCATCATTTAATTGGCATCCAGGAAGGGGAAATTACTGACTGATGAGAGTATTTCCCAGCAACTCAAATTGGGTTTAAAACAAAATCAAATGGGTAATGACTCCACCTACTGGAATTACAGGGTAAAAAGGACACTGTCACCCATCCTATCCTCCCCATCCACATCCCTCCCCTTTGCCA